GAGTCATTTATCAAAAACCTTTTTTCACTAAATTAATTCTATATTAAGTTGATTATTTCTAATACTTTGATTATCATTAGCTAGTAGTAGTTAGAAAAAGCTAGAAGTAACTAGAATCAAGGTAAGAGTAACTGGAAATAAGATAGAAGTAACTAGAAACAAGGTGGAAGTAACTGGAAATAAGATAGAATACAAGGTAGGAGTACTTCCTCTGGTATCCAGTTACTGCACGTGGTACAAATTACAATAAGGGATTGGCTAGATACCTCATGAATAATTAATGAGTATGAGAATTTCATTTGAAATCCTAGAAGGCGAGGTTCTGTGACCGTGCCGTGCCATGTCCGTGTTGTGATCCGTGCTTTTGCACAGTCATACGAAATCCGATCTATATGGTGAYTTCATTTWAACATCGATTTTGATTTTTACCACACTTATTGAAATTCCTTCGTGCTGATTAGATGATTAGGATGTGTCAATAAGAGGACATAAATAAATAAAAAATAAATAAATCGACTTTATTTTACGAGGGTAACACGTGACATTAAAGAACTGATGAACTTGTGGCCCTCACACTCACACTCACTACCTCTACATTAATTATTTTGGCACACAACACACAACACACCTCACATGTTGATTTTACATACAACTCAAAGTCGCGCGCAATTTGTTAACTTTACAACACTTGTTCAAATTCTCGAGCACTGGTTTGCTGATTTTATTAGAGGACATGAACACAGCGCTGATACTATCACGGCGGCTCATTTGAAAAAAGAATGATTTTCGCAAACTTTTAAAATTAAAATGTTGTAAAAAACAAATTGYACACGTGAGCAATTATGTAAATACGTGCATTGTGCGAAAATCTTTTTTATCAACTAAAAATAGCTTTTCCGACATACCTAACACTTTCACATTGTAAACTTTGATGAATTTTAGGCGTGGTTACTTATGCTCATACTCAGAATAACTTACCAGTGCGGTCATAGTGAGCTCTTTAGGATTTTTAGTGAGGGCTCTGAGTGAGCTGGTTACCAAATCAAGATCAGTAATTTTTGTAGCGTTATTATTTTTCATGTCACTTATAGTGTCTTCCATCTGACTCGCTACTGTTTGCCTGAGCTGTAAAGAAAGCGTGTTAAAAATCGTTGGTTGTCCGTACTGCAATTTTTAGTCATTAGCCCGTATGACGCCTAACAAAATAGTTTCTGATTCTCTGTGAGCTGATTCTATATAAAGYAAATGATTGTATGGTGAAATATTTCTGCATTTCAGTGTTGCGTCTTTGAGTTTTTCTTCCAATATGCTAATGRAAATATGACGTCAAGGGAGTCTTCATTAGATATACGAACTTTGAAACAGTCGCTCAAAAATGTTTTCATTACAACGCCATCTGGAAATATGTTTATTCCCTACATTGCATACGATAAATTTAATGTCATATTYCAAGCGACTACTTCAAAGTATATCCAATGAAGCCTTCTTTGACGTCATTTTCATTACCATATTGTAAGATTGATTCATAACTCACAGACGCAACACTGAAATTCAGGAATATTTCACCATTCAATTATATTATATAGAATCAGCTCACAGATAATCAGATTTTTTTGTCAAGCGTCATAGGCACTTTATGGTAGGGGCAAATAGAAGTTGACAAAAACAGCCAAGATATGAGTTTTTTCTTAAATGACCACGCATTGTAGCAATTGCTTTTGTACATATTTTGAAATCACTGCTAACCTGTTTAGCTTTGTTAACATCTTCTTCATTTTTTTTGTCATTGTCATCACCAGATCCCGCATTGTTTAGCGAATAAGCAACTAAATTTGCTAGTTGTGCTACCTCTGCCGCTGACTTCTTTGGGACTGTTTGATTTTTCGATGCAGATCCTGCGCCACTTCCGCCACTTCCACCACTGCTGCTTCCACCATTACTACCACCATTACTACTCCCACTGCCACCACCGCCAATTCCACCTCCTGCACCTCCTCCTATTACATTCAGTATATTCGAGATGTCTATTTTCTTTGGCTTTGAGACCTTGAATGGAAAGAAAACAGTTCATGATTACAATATAGGCATAATTGCTAATTGCTTCAGTAGTTCAATATAAATCACCAAGCCTACTGCAGCATACAAGACTGAATGATTTTTTGGCATGATGACCACTTGGTGCGTTTGGAACTATCATGTTTAGAATACTGCAAATTGTCTTTAATCGCCTAGGGTTAGTCTCTCTAAGAGATGAGTACAACATAAAATACTAATATAATAAAATAAGCAGATTTTGGAGACCTATTTAGAATGATATCAAATTGATTAGAATGATAAGAATTATATATTTGATTTTAATKATTAGAATTTATATCCAAAAATACGTTTATTAGTACTAACCAGTACTGTCGTCCATGCCACAGCACTCATCCCTAACGAATCCGTAAGTTCTGATGTTATATTTATGGTTGAATTATCGGCACCCTCTGCTATAGGTAGTTTAAAACTACGTTGGTTCTGGTCTCCAGAATACAAAAGCGTTGTTTCTTCTCCAAGGGTATAACTAAATGCATAGGACAATGGCGGATCTTGATCTAACCAATCGAAGCAATGGACAACAAAAGATGTGTCCATAGCATTACCTTGAGCAGGTATTACTGAACAATTACCATCTTTAGGTGGACTGTTTTTGTAAACTACAAATGTGTATGTTGTATATCCTGGTAAGCCGCCCCGTTTCCATGCACTTAAGGTTGAGATGAAATGCTTTCCAGGAGGCAATAAATTTGGAAGCAGTTCGAATCGAGCAGTATTTAATCCATAACGCGTTTCTGAAGGCAGGGTATTTCTTGGCTTTTGTGTTTTATTGATCACTTCTGCCAGTTCCCATTTATAGCCCAAAGAAACGTCAGAGCTACCACAACTTGTACATTCTCCTAAGAGGACTAGACTTTTAGAGGGTATTAGTCGACCATCACATGTAGGGATACACCTGTATAAGTATTTACAACCAGATATATTTTCAGAATGCATATGAAACAGAATCAGCGAAGATGCTAAAAACTAGAAGTCAAATACTGATTGCAATCAACAACCAAAAGATTTCTTTTGATTTTATTTCTTGTTGCAGGGACCAATAGTCTTTATCTCCAAAATCGACTATTTCTTTCTTCTTTGCCCAGCAAACGCGCTTCAGCAAAGCAGCACTTGGTAACTTAGTACCGTTGAGACTGGATGAAATGATCGCTATTATTATTGATTATTATTATTATTATAACCAATAAAAATGGTTCTAACTAATTTGAATGCTTATTGTAATCAAATTACTATTGGTTGATAAAATACCCAATTTCGATATGCTTGTTTAATTTGGTTAAAATAGCCTATTTAACCAGATTGACAATAATTAATAATCAACCATCAATTTAGTCAAACTATGGTAACAGGATATATGCTTATGTTCAAAAATCAAACACAGTACTTATCCGCTTATAAGAACCTATTTTTTCAAATTTAGCCTAAACGGGTTCTTATGTAAATGGTGCTTAGCGGAATTTTAGGCTACACAGGTTCTTAAATATAGGTTCTTATTAATACCTTATGTAGTGAAAATTTACAAGGTTTTCCAACATTATTTATACCAAATGTAGATGTGTATACATGCTCAAGTTCACTACAGTGTGAGTATGTTTTTTT